TATATATATATATATATATATATATATATATATATATATATATATAGGGTGTAAAAAAATTAGACCAACAAATTTTGATGAGAAATAGAGAACATAAAAACAAACATATTTTGTTGAGAAATAGAAACAAATTTTGATGAGAAATAGAGAACATAAAAACAAACATATTTTGTTAATAATGTTTTTCTCTATGACGCTTCGTTTTAATACTATAGGGTACAAAATAGGAATTTTATGATTTTACTAAAAAACAAACATATAAGTGGAAAAATTAAATTTATTTCAATTACACATATTTTATATATTTTATATATTTTAATCTTCAAAGAGCAATGAACAAAAGATCAGAACAAAAATGCGCAATTGATTAGCTCAATTTATAATAAATGTTCAAAAATTCCTCCATTTGCTTCAACATAAAGATGACATCGTCGAAACATTGATTATCTCGTGTGTATATCAGTTGGACACGGGGCAATTGGACACAGTCCAATCACAAGTCGCTGTTCCAAGGGACCCTACAAATATCTCTAATCATACGGTGCTGCGATTGGCTGTGTCAAAATGCACCGTGTCCAAGTGCACCGCTCCCGATTATCTCACACGCTCGAAGACTGCAGGAATATTCTGAACCTGATATGCTGCAATAGTAATTTGGGCTACCAATTTTGCTTCTGTTTTAATAGATGTCTCATAAATGAGAGTTTTCATACGGCCCCATAAAAAAAGTCAAGCGAAGATAAATCTGGTGACCGGGGAGGCCATGTAATAGGACCTCTTTGGTCTATCCAGCGCTCATTAAATCTTTGGTCCAATTGCGCACAGTAGCACTAAAATGGGCAGATGCTCCATCGTGTTGGAACCACATTTGCCTTCTTGTGACAAGTGGCACGTCTTCCATGAGTTCTGGCAAAACTTCTTCGAGAAAAATACGATAAATATTGCCATTCAATCGTAAAGGTAAAATGTACGGCCAGATAAGGAAGTTATTGATAATATCTGCCCATACATTAACCGTAAATTCTTCTTGATGTGTTCGAATAAATGTAGCATGAGTATTATCCTCACTCCAAACGTGAGAGTTGTGAGTGTTAAACATACCTGTCCTTGTGAAACTTGCTTCGTCAGTAAACAATATTAAAGAAGAAAATTCGGGGTGTGTTTCACACTGCTGCAAATACCATCACGCAAATTCTAAACGTCGTGAATACCCAGATAACAAAATGCATGCACAGTGACCACATGTTGCACGCACGCTGTGCGAATTAACCCGCACATCGTGAACTTATAGCAGCAGACAGATGCGCGCTCAATTGAGACTCATAGCACTCGCACGCGTGATTGCGCATATTGTTCGCACGTTGTGTAAGTGCATATTTCTAGGTAATACAAATATATTAAGTGTCATATAATTTGTATTTAATTACGTTAATCAAATATATACATAATATTGAATACAATACATAATGAAACAAACAAAATTAAATTAATTAAATTTAATTAATTAAATAATAGCGTGGCACTTATTTCTAATTGAAAATATAAACATTCTTTAAATATTTATTTTAATCTTTTTGGATAACTTTTATGTATAACAATATTTTTATATTTAGATAGATTTTTTATATGTACGTAACACATAATTAAATCATTCAAAAAAGAACATAATTAGTTTTAATATTGTCAAATACGTTAGATAAATAAATATAATATTGAAAATAATATATAAACTCCGTTCATTTTAGGCGAGTACGCGCTGTAAGTGTTGCTCTGTCTTCCTGTCGCGTATAAGGCTACTATTACATGTCAAATACGATAAGTTTTTCGAATACGTTGATTGGTTGACGAACAGAGAATCTAGAAATACTTTATTCGCCAAGTAATGAACGTATCCGAAAAGCTTGTCGTACGACAAATGTAATAGCCTAATAAGTGACAAAGATGAGATAATACTTACAGCGCGTGAGCGCTCAAAGCGAACGTAGCCATAATAGAACATATAATTATTTTTAGAATTGCGAAGCAAAAACAAAGAAAATAAAAGAATGTATACAACATGCTTTGATCATTTGTAAACGCCGAATACGAGGGCTGCTCCGTAAGTTTTGCGACTTGGCAACACTGGCGTTGCTAGGTAAAATCTAACCTTACCATCAAAAAGTTTGACACTTTGGAAGATTTTTTTACTCGAAACGTTTTGTCGTACGGAGGTTACTTGTATTGTTTACAGTGACTTGAAAATTGTGACTCAGTGAAAAAATGGAATTAACACGAGAACACTTTCGTGCGATGATTTTTTACGACTTTCGACGTGGATTATCGAGACAAGAGTGCATCGATCAACTTGCTTACACTTTTGGCAATGAAGCACTACACAAGGCCACTATTTGCCGCTGGTTTAATGAATTCAATCGTGGTCGTAGTTCGCTCACCGACGAACCTCGCGAAGGTCGTCCAAAATTAGCTGCTATGCCAGAAAACATCGATGCTGTGCGTGAATTGATAATACAAGATCGACATGTGACATACCGTGAGATTCAGACATCCCTGGGTGTTGGTATGAATTGCATACAAACGATATTGCATGAACATTTGGCCGTAAAAAAAATTTTGTTCATGTTGGATCCCGCATAATTTGACAATTGCTCAAAAAAAAAGGATCGTGTAAATTGGCAAAAAAATGCTGAAGAAATGCTGAAGAATTCGAAATTTCAAATTCGAGGTGCCGTATATAACCTCTACACAGGTGACGAGTCATGGATCTATGCATATGAGCCGGAAACTAAACAGCAGTCGACTGTGTGAGTCTTTCAAAGTGAACCTAACCCAACAAAAGTTGTTCGCGCTCGAAGCACTTCGAAACAAATGGTCGCCTGTTTTTTCGGAAAAACTGGTCATGTGGCAACAGTACCCTTAGAGAAACGTAGAACGGTTAATTCTGAGTAGTACACAACCATTTGTTTGCCAGGAGTCTTCGGCCAAATAAAGAAAAACAACTCAAGACGACGAATCATTCTTCACCATGACAATGCGAGCTCTCACACATCGGCTCAAACAACCGCCTATTTGACCAGTGAAAACATCGAATTAATGGGTCATCCACCTGATTTGGCACCCAATGACTTCTTTTTGTTCCCGAACATCAAGAATAAACTGCGTGGTCAACGATTTTCGACGCCAGAAGAAGCGGTTGATGCGTTTAAATCACATGTCTTGGAAGTACCACTTTCGGAGTGGCATGGATGCTATAATAAATGGTTTGAGCGAATGCAGAAGTGTATTGATCATCATGGAGAATACTTTGAAAAACAATAAAACTATTTTCAATGACAAATTACTATGTTTTCCTTACTAATCGCAAAACTTACGGAGCAGCCCTCGTAATCCCTGTATAAAATAGATGATAGAAAATGATTGGATATGATGTAAACGGGATAGAATTTCTACATTACTTTATAAATTAACGTAGAAAGTTATCCTTTTTTATCAGATACAATCATTTTCTATGAAACATTTTAAACAAGAATAATATTATTCTGTCTTCAAACTCTTCATCCGTGAATATTTCTTCGTTCGTTGAATGTCTGAAATCTTCGCTTGTACGTTTGTCTATTAATATTTGCAAACGTTGCATTTCCTGTATGATCTTTTGACGATCGTTTTCGTTTGTACACTCGTCGGCTATTTTTTGCAAACGTTGGATTTGCAGTATAAGCTTTTGAGCATCGTCGTCATCGTCATCTATGTCATTTTTTGGCGTGAATGTTTTCTTATTCTTATTCCGGAATCTCTGTTTCATAGCTTGCAACACCTCTTGCATTTCGGTTTTGAATTGTGACTTTGTATCAGGACCTTTAAATAACGGGCAGTTTTGCGCTGCCACTGAAAGAAAAATGTAACATTTAATGATTTACCAGATAAGTTATTATGAACATAAATATGAATTAATATAACATAAGACATTTATTACGGTATAGAATATTAGCGATTTTAGTATCGCCAAACTTTTCCGCTTGAGCACAACTAGGCCACGTGAAATGATTGACCAGCTGTCATTATTTCTTTAAGCGAACAATTCAAAAATTCTCTCAATTTTGACCCTCCTAAGTTACGTAAATGATGATACTGAAATATAATAAAAGTAATTTTTCCATACTACTCAGAAAATGTTCAACTTGTTGAAAGCACAAGTAAGTACAATATATTGTAAGCTAAACGTCATAGCACGACATAGCACATAAAAGCGTTATGCTTTGTCTGTTGTTTAATGACTACAGACAACGGACAACGTTTTTATGTGCTGCAGTTTTTCATATAATGCTTTATATTATCTACATGAAGTTTATGTTAGAATCCAAGTAATTATTAACAATTAATAATAGCTAAACCTGCGCGAGTTTATTCCGTACAGAGGTTACTACTAACGAAATAAGCAACAAATTTGATGCAGGTTCTATTACATGAAATCCTATTGCCAAACTGTCGCCAGATATGCGCTAGAGTCGACTGTTGAGCAATTGCTGCAGATTTGAAGCAAAAGCGCATAGCCTGTAGCAATGTAATGGCACATTAGCGGCAGACTCTATGTGCGCAGGCTCTACTCACAATCTGTCGTTAATCTGCTGTTAAAATCGAAGCTGAATGCGGATGCAGATAGCTATGATTTTATTGTACGTTTTTTATGCAATTTGCTGCCAATCAGCGTGCAGTCTGCCATCAATTAGTTTACTACCCTAACAGCACAGATGTTCAGGGGATGTTCTGAGTACATTCAGAGGACATCTCAATATTCTCAGAATATCCCTGGGACGTCCATAGAAGTTTATGTGCTGTCTGGATAAGTACTTATATAATCTTCATGTAATAGCTAGCTGAAATATCGATGAATAACATCGATTTAAATAAATTTAATATTTGTAAGAGTGAAACACGAATCCGGTCAGCAGTAATGCTATTCGAAAAAGTATAACTTCTATACAAATAATTAGTATAAAAATTCTTGTAGGTACATATTTAACATCTTTGAAAGAAGTATAAATAAAATACCAATTGGTATCAATTTTTCTTACGGGAGATAGAATGTTTTGATCGATTTTGTGAAAGGATTGATATTTCACTGTTTTTTAAACATTGTACTTTATTGTTATTTACTTCCCAGTAAACATGCATATCTAAAAGATGTCTAAAAGATATCTAAAAGATATCTTATGCAACATTTTGTTGCATAAGACGTCTTTTAGATATCTTTTCGACATCTTTTAGACATGCATGTTTATTGGGTTGTTTGTAAACTAGGTATGATGTATACTAAAATGTACTGGACTTCCGTTTCCGGTGGCGAATGTGTAGGAGCTCGTGAGTTCTCGGTGAGAAAGTGAGGTGCATCTGTAAGAGAGTGAGTGAGGTGGAGAGAGTGTGTGGGTGTGAGAGGGGAGTGGAGAGTGTGTGGAGTACGTGGGAGTGAAGGGAGGTGGAGGGGAAGGGAGAGAAGCCGGGAGGAGTAACGTGGAAAGGAGTAGTAGAGTTAGGTTAGGAAAATGTTCCGAGGAAGAGAGAACGGGGGAAGGGAGGAGAGAGCAAGCGGGGAGTGGAGATTTTTGGTTTCCGCAAGACGGTACGCGGTGAAAGTCACTAGAGCAGGGAGTATAGGGAAGATATAGAAAGGATTCGATCGGGAGAATATAGAAAGCAAAGAGAATAGAGGGCAGGATGGATAGCTTTGCGAGGAAAGAAGGTAGAGGGAGGAGTGATAGCATAAGTGATAGTATAGTAGAAAGTCAGAAGAGAAAAAGGGAGATGCTAGGAAGGGAATCGTTGGAGGGAAGGGAGGTAGCGGATATTTTTAAGAAAAGCTGCAAAACGAGTAGATCGCCGGAGGGGAGGGCGATGAAGGATGAAATGAAAGAGATATTAAAGGAAATAAGGAGGGAAATTAAAGAAGGATTAGAAGGGGCGAGAGAGAAGATAAGAAAAGAGGCGGAGGGGCAGAAGGAAACGATGAGGATGGAGGTGGAGAAGATAAAGGAAGAGTTGAGGGAGAGAGAGGAAAGATGGAACAAGGAAAGAGAGGAAGTAAAGGGAAGAATTGAAAAGTTGGAACGGGAATTGGAAGAATGGAAATGGGAAAGAAAAGAGGGAAAGGAAAAGAGGAAAGGAACATCAGAAAAAGAGGGAGGTGGATTTAAGGGGGTAAGGGAAATGGAGGAGTGGGAAGATAGGGTCAAGAGATTAGAGAGAAGATGGGAAATGAAAGAGAAAAGAGACAGGAGGCGAAATTTTTTTATTGAAGGGTGTGAAAGGAGGTGAAGGAGACATGAAGGAAAGAGTGGAGGGGATACTAAAAGAGCTAGGAGT